ACAATCAATCAACAAATATATGAAAAAATGTTCAACATCTCTAGCAATTAGAGAAATGCAAATCAAAACTACTTTAAGATTTTATCTCACTCCAGCCAGAATGGCAGCTATTAAGAATACAAACAAGGGGCTGAGGTTGTGGCTCAGAGGTAGAGCACTTGCTTAGCATGTGTGAGGCACTGGGTTTGATCCTCAGCACCACATAAAAATAAAATATTGTGTGCACCTACAACTAAAAAAATATATTTTTAAAAAAGAATACAAACAGTAATAAGTGTTGGTGAGGATTTGTGGAAAAAGGCACACTCATACATTGGTGGTGGGACAGCAAAATGGCGCATTCAATATGGAAAGCCGTATGGAGATTCCTTGGAAAACTGGGAATGGAACCACTTTTTGACCCAGCTGTCTTACTTCTCAGTCTATACCCAAAAGTTGTGAATTCTTTTAGTTTTTGTTTATCATGGAAGGTTTTTATTTCATCTTTAAATCTGAAGCTTAATTTTGCTGGATATAGGATTCTTGGTTGGCATCTATTTCCTTTCAGAGCTTTGTATATGTTATTCCAGGACCTCTTAGCTTTGAGGTTCTGGGTGGCTTCATCTTTTTCTAAAATTTCTTTTTCTGACTTTTTGTTTGCTATAGGTTCTTCAGACCAGAGGTAGTTCAGTGTTGACCTGGGTACCTCCTAGAGTATTGCTAGGAGCTGGAGATCCTTGGGTTAATCTAATTATGATTATAACAAGAGAGGTTTGAGCTACCACTAAAAATATTTGTGTATGTTGGCTGCTGAATGGTGTATTACCTTGCTACAGTTCTCTTGGAGCTGGGCGTCTAGTTTGGACCTTACTGAAAAGTGTAAGGTCATGTTTTCCATTAATCTAGTTCCCAGTATTTCACTCAGGAGATTTTTCTACTGAACTCGATTCTGTGTACTTGAGAAATTCTCTGAATTACCTTTTTTTTTTTGAGAGAGAGAGAGAGAGTGTGTTTTTATTAATTTTTTTTAGTTTTTTTTTTTTTTTCTTGCGGACACAACATCTTTGTTTGTATGTGGTGCTGAGGATCGAACCCGGGCCGCACGCATGCCAGGCGAGCGCGCTACCGCTTGAGCCACATCCCCAGCCCCTCTCTGAATTACCTTTATTTTTTTTTTTTTTATTTTTTTTAATTTTTTATTGTGGGTTGTTCAAAACATTACAAATCTCTTGACATATCATATTCCACACTTTGCTTCTAGTGGGTTATGAACTCCCACCTTCACCCCATTGAATTACCTTTAAATTCTACATTGAGTGTGGTTTTCTGCCTAGGATTGTTTTTACTTAAGGTGGTAATTTCTACTCTTTGTACAAATAGGTACTTATTTTTCTATTATCTTTAGAATTGTTTGCATCAAGAATTTTCCAGAACATAGAGTCTCAGATGGAAAACTTAATAGAATCACAGTTTCTGCTTAATATTTTTTTCTTTTTTCATTGTGACAAGTGAGAGTGAAGTTTGCATGGTATTGATACACATTATGGACAAATAGGAGACATGCCTTAAATTTTAAAAATTCACTATAGTATATATCTATGTTTTTACTACAAGTATGTATACATACACCCATGTATGTAAATTTTAATCCTGTACTTTTAATTATTAAACTTCTTGGATTATTTTTAGGATGCCTTTTCTGTAGTCATGCTATTTAATGAACATTAAAATGTAAAAAGCAATTTTCCTAAAACTGTATTCGTTTTGTCTCTCTTCTTGTCTTTTAAAATAGAGTTAGGGAAGAATTAAGGTGCCCTCTAAAAATCAAACTGTCATAGCAGGGCAGGACAGGTTTGCCTGCTTTTCCACACTTGTCATATAAAAGAAAACATTGTACTTTTATGATACTTAATATTACACTTACCTGAAACATCCAAGCTGTGTGGTATGAAATACTACTATTACATGGAAGAACTCCTGGAAAGGGACACTGACATTGGATAAGAGCAGTAAAGCTTCCCTACCCCATGTACCTTAGTTATTGAAATATTTCTGGACATGTGGTAAAGGGGACACATCTTTAGTCTTTATACTAAAGTATTAGCCTCTGCCCTCAAATTAGTATTCACATGTTTCATTCAGGAGATGTTTCTGCTTGAGTTCCATATACCCTCTGGGGACCTTGCTGTTTCACACAGTGAATTTCAGAGGTGCCACATCACCATTTACCATATGGCAGTATACAAAAGAGAAATAGTAATGATATATGTACTACTTTATTCTCCATTTAAAAACTGCGGAGTTTAAAATTGCAAATTTTTTAGTATTGATTTAACAGATGGAAGTTATATTTAAACTTATTAAGTGAAATAATTACTGGGTTCATTCCTTGTTCCTATCCATGTAATTCAGAGTAAGAGGCCTATGCTTCAGTCTATTCTGCTCAAGCTTTCAAATTCCTTTGACAGTCTGGATGTGAAATTCAGAAGCCATTAATGTGATGTGTTAATTTTGCACTTTTTGACTTACTGCAAAAAATCTTATAGTTTCCATAGCAACGATATCCTATCCAGATTGTGTAATATTCTTTACAGTATTAAAAATAAAACTATGCAATTACATGAGCTTCTGGAGCTCTTCATTTAGGGAAATAGGGAATTGAAATATTTCTGTTGAAAAATGTGATCACTTGTGAAAAATTTGTCAGAAAGCTTTTATAATTTTGTTTTAAGAACTTATTAAACTTAATAAGAGATACCTGGTAGTTAATTTACTTGTTAAATGTATAATCTGTACATTTTAAGCATTGTGTCAGAGTATCTCAGGCATATGTGCTGTCACACACGTACTTGGCTTTCGTTTTATTTGGTTACCTGCTGTTTATGCTTTTTCGAGACTTCTGAGTGATCTGAAGAAATAGGAAGGATTATGGAGAAAAGAGAAAAAATGATCACTTAAGCTTTCCCTGATTTTTGACCTTGGTCTTTAAAACATGCCCAAACTCTCACTTTGAAAATATTAGAGATTATCCTAGTAGTTGATTATTTCCAGAATATTAAATTATTTTGATTCCTCCATTCTAGTTTTTTTGTGGGGGGAGTGGCACCAGGGATTGAACTCAGGGAGGGACATTTGACCACTGAGTCACATCCCTAGCCCTATTTTGTATATTATTAGTGATGGGGTCTAACTGAGTTGCTTAGTGCCTTGCTAAATTGCTGAGGCTGGCTTTGAATTTGTGATCCTCCTGCCTCTATCTCCGGAGCTGCTGGGATTACAGACCTGCGCCACTGAGCCTGACCTTTATTCTAATTTAAAAGACAATATTACTTAGTGCTTGGGTTGACTTAATTTCCTATATCTTAACACAATAGTTTTTAATTTTTGTATTATCTCCAACATATGTATAGATGTATATATATTTCTATATAACATAATTTGTGCATTTTCTTAGTGGTGTATGGTAGACATTTACATGTTTCTAATGACCATAGCCATCATTTTAATAATTATATCACAGACCGTCCTTTTTTTTGGGGGGGGGGTACTGAGATTGAACTCAGAGACTCTTAACCACTGAGTCACATCCCCAGCCATTTTTATTTTTTTATTTTGAGACAGGGTCTCACTAGATTGCTTAGGGCCTCAGCCTCCCAAGTCACTGGGATTACAGGCATGTGCCACATGTCATGGCTACAGTCCATCCTTTTGACATATCTGGGGTATTTTCTGTTTATCAAAATGCTGCTTATTTGCTGAATGGCATATCTTGGAAGAAAAATGTCCATGATTTTCACGTTGACTATGGGAGAAAGAAATCATAATTTTATAATTTCTTATACAATGAAATCATTTCCCCAAAACATAGGTGATTGTGATAATCTTTAAAATGCATGCAAAAATATGTTTTTAAAGCATGTTATGTTTTTAAAGCATCTTAAACTGCTTTATCGGCTAGTAAACACAGATAAATGAGGAGAATAGTTATATAGGACAAATTTGGCATTTTTTTGGCATTTTAATGCATCCATTATGTCCTGATGATATCTTGCTGAGGCTCTACTCCAAAGACAAAATTTGGAGGGCGTGAATTATGCCCCTGTTATTAGAACAACCCCATATATGATCTGTAGTTCCAGCATTCAGCTGGGGTCCTTGTGTATTTTTGGTGTTAGTGTCTCAAAGATACTTTATTCACCAGCTGCTCATCTGATGTTGGTTCTATGGGTTTGTATCATCATTATTGAATTCCTAGTTACTTTGATTAACTATTAGGAATTCCGAGATCCCTAATCCTTTTTTTATTGTTTGCAAAACCAACGGTAACTACTGAGTTTCTTGTAGAGTTTCCTGAGAAATGAGATGTTGGCGGCTATGTTTTGAAGTCTTAAGGGCTTTTGGTTGGGGGTCTTAGAGCTTTTGAATATCCCTTATTCTAGTTGAGACTCAGTTTTCTAGGTGAGAACAGGTTCTTTGTCCTGTGAATGCTTTTTATATTATGAAATTACTTTAAATGACTCTGGGAGTTTATGTCTGTCAGTTATTTTTTTAGTGAATGTTTATAACAGAATGCTTTCATAGACTTCAGATAATTAAGACAGGAGTAGAATTATCTTGCAATATGTTTGAGTTTATATTTATTCTTGTTTACTCTTCAAAACTAGTGCTGTGTTTAGTATCCTATTCTGTTCAGTTTTGAATTTTGTGTTTTGGCTCTGTCTGGTATTTTCATTATGACATGAATTGCTTTTTTAATTTCTTATTTCTGTAGTTGAAATATTATCAAAAATAGTAAGTGAGGAGCTGGGGATATAGCTCAGTGGGTAGAGTGCTTGCCTCACATGCACAAGGCCCTGGGTTTAATCCCTAGCACCAAAAAAAAAAAAAAAAAGTGATGCATGGCATAGTGGCTACATATCTCCGAGAAACTACACGAATTCCTGTTGTTTTTGAAGTTACAATTTTGAGTCTGAAAGTAATATATGAAAAAATAAAAAAAATTTGTTTTTGTTCATGTGCAGAAAAGATGAAAAGGAATATGCGTTGAAGCAAATCGAAGGCACAGGAATATCCATGTCGGCTTGTAGAGAGATTGCAGTAAGTGGATGTAAATACAGTTGCTTATCTTATTATTGATATTGGGTGATGATTTGTTGTAATCTGAGTATAATGTATACAATACATAGTTATTTCACAGATGTTAGTTTAAGGATGTTTTATATTAAGATGAGAAAATTTGTATAAAGTTAAAATTATTTGAAAGTTGTCTTTGAACATTCTCTTAATGATATTTAGGATATTATAATCTTAGAAATACTGAACAAAATAATGATTCAATTAAAATTAGAACATGATTATTTTAATTAATAATTCCCTATAGTTTTAGGATTGTTATTTTTATGTAGGGAAAGGAGTCATATTATTATATCTTATGCATTTAAAATTTTTAGGAAATATATAACTTAGTGATAGATTTTACTAGTTGCCAGAAAAGATTATCATAATAATCCTTTAAATAACGATAGTTCCTTTTTTGTCTTACTATGACAAATTAATACCTATGCAATTGAGAAATGATTATCTCTTAACAGTACCTAACATTTGCTGGGTGCTTTTAAGTTCATTTAATTTTCACCACAGTCCTGTGAAATAAGCACTTTTAATATCGCCCTTTTAAAAAAATTATTTTAGTTTTTTTTAAATAACTTTCTATTTCAAACCAAAGGGATTTTTTTTTAAAGAGAGAGAGAGAATTTTTTTTTAATATTTATTTTTTAGTTCTCGGCAGATACAAATATCTTTGTTTGTATGTGGTGCTGAGGATTGAACCCTGGCTGCATGCATGCCAGACGAGCGCGCTACCGCTTGAGCCACATCCCCAGCCCTATTTTAATTTTTGATAAACCTTTATTTTGTTTATTTATATGTGGTGCTGAGAATCAAACCTGTTGTCTCACACATGCCAGGCAAGTTTGCTACCCCTGAGCCACAGCCACAGCCCTAGCCCTTAATATCCCCTTTTTACAAATCAGAAAACAGACAAAACGGTAGAAGGCATAATATGATAATACTTTATTTTAGTTCTTCAGCGGAGATTGCTAATTAGGGTATTATTATGATATTACGTGTTAGAAACTTTTATCTCTAAATTGTTAAATTCTTAAATATTTAATTGTTATTTAGTAATTGTTCAATAATTGTTTATATTGTTCATGTCTGTTAGAAATTTCAACCTCTAGTAACTATTACATATATTACCAATAGTTCCACATTTCTGTTTTACTCATATGGAAACACTCCTTCATCACTCTTAGTCTGGCAAGAAGTCTGCTTGAAATTAGAATTAGATGTCTGTTTGTCTAACTGGCTAATGAAGGGAACTATGAAGTCCTTCCAAATCATAAATTTTTAAATTAAATGAATAAATAAAACTTTAAAAATTCCATTAGTTATCCATGATGCTAAGTTTGCTTTACAGTATAAGTTTATTGTTGGAAACTTTCAGTTTGGTGGTTTTTCATTACTTCTGAAGCGATTTTATAATGTCCTACCAGAATAAGTATTTGATAAATGATTTGTTGTTCCTTAAAATTCTTACACATTATCATATCAATAATATAAATATCATTCGTGTATTATTTTGCTGTGTTAGAGTACTATATAATTTAGAAAAGCATTTTTTAGCCTTTCCTTCCATGAGTCAGTTTGGTAAATAGCTGGAATTTAATGTATTGATTAATGGGAAATGAAAACTCAATTGTAGATGTTCTTTTTTTTTTTTTTTTAGTTGTTGGTGCTAGGGATTGAACCCAGGGCCTTGGGCCTTGTGCATGTGAGGCAAGCATTCTACCAACTGAGCTACCCCAGCCCTGGAGATGTCCTCTTTGAACAGATACTTCTGTGTGCTGAGGAATCCATAGGTGTTTATATCTTAATGTAAATTTTGGAGGTTATAGAGAAACTAAACTATTAAAGTCATTCATAGCCTTCATATTTTTATTGAGAGCTTGCCTAATAGAACTTTATAAAGTATGCAGTTTCTATATTAAAGAATTTTATCACCACTTGAAATATTTAGTCCCAGTGTGATAGGAATTTTGACAAAATTTTATTTAGTACATTGCTATGCATGTACATCTTATATATTCAGTACACTAACACAGTTATATAATATACTTCCTTTTTTGGGGGGGGGGTTAGCTTTCATGTCTCTGTGACCAAAATAACTGACAAGAAAAGCTTAGAGGAGGAACAGTTTATTTGGGACTCACAGTTTCAGACGTCTCAGACCACAGATGGCTGTTTTCATTGCTCTGGGTCTAAGGTGAGAGCACATTGTGGATTAAGGGCCTGGAGGTGGTGCCAGGAAGCAGAGAGAAAAGGAGGAGAAATGGCCATAGGGAGAATGCCTGTAATGTCTGAAGTCCTGAAAGTCTCCTCTTGGTATTTATAGAGCAGGTGTACTAGAAATAATTTATGTTTTTATTTTATTTTCATGTTGGGATGTATTTCTTTATTCTTTATCCTTACCTAGAACTCCTTCATGTTTGGAGTGTATTTTTTTTTTTTTTTGAACTGTCAACCCACTGTCTTCAGGACAGTGATTTCTGATGACAAATCAACTGTTAATTTGAGAATTTCTTATACATGAGGAGCTTTTTCCTTGCCAATTTTAAGATTAATAATGAAAAATGAAATACTGTAAGAGTTTGGGGGTAGAGTTTGTTGTTTTCTTAGGATTCTGGGAACTGATACAAGGTAAACAAATGCATAGGGAGGAATTTTCATTTCCCAAGAGCTAAAAGAGAATCAGGAAGCAAATGGAATCACCAGTCTTATGTTATGGTGTTTCTGTCTGCCTTACTATATGTTAGATCATGAGTCTCTTGAAACTGTGTGTGTGTGTGTGTGTAGTTGTAGTATGTGTGTGTGTGTGTGTAGTTATGTGTGTGTGTGTAGTTGTATATTTTTGTAGTATATTCAATCTGTGTTTCCTATGAGAAGACTAAGTGGTAAGAGTTTATATTTTCAGTAGGTGATGTAAATATTTGTTGCCATCATTACTGGAAAAGAGGTGGGCCATGTAGATTTATGGGGTTTTGTATAAAGGTGACAAAAGTGAGAAGGAACAATTTGAAAGAGACACTGGCTGTACTCACCAATTGTGTGTGTGTGTGTATGTATGTATGTGTGTGTGTGTGTGTGTGTGTTTTATGGTGAGGGAAGATGGGATGTTGTGTAACCCACTCATGGATGTAGCTGAAAACTTTCTCTCTTTCCCCACTTTTTGGGAATAGACTAGTTGGCTATTGGTAGTGACTTTAGGCACCCGTGTGTGGTTGCTGCAACTCCCTTGCTTATAAAGAATTGGTGAGTTATTACTGAAGAGTTGGCTTTCTGCTGTGTTAGTGTACTTCCATACTAAGGAAAATCAGTGGAGTTCTCCTAAAAATTATCAACTTTATATTCTTGCTCTAAGCAATTAGATTTAATTGGCTATCAATTCGCTGAATTTAGTTTATTTTTCTCTTGAATAACATTGAAGCAAAATTGCAATAGTTACATAAATACAGAGTGAAAGACTGAATATAAATCTGATACTGTTTATGTGAAGAGCTTAACTTAGAACCTGAGCATAAATGTGCAAATAAATGATTGTTGTTACTATTATTTTTTGTAAATTTGTTTTTTAGTTGTAGGTGGACACAGTACTTTTATTAATTTATTTATGTGGTGGTGAGGATCGAACCCAGTGCCTTACACATGCAAGGGGAGAACTCTACCACTGAGCCACAACCCCATCCCCTGTTGTTACTATTATTATTGGTAATAATCTTTTCCTAGTTAAACTCTAATTAAACAAAATTTTTAGCTGAATGTGCTTCCCCTGTGGTCAAAGTAAATCAGTTTTAAGACTCTCTCTCTATATATATTTGTTACTGGGGATTGAATTCGGGCACTCAACCACTCAGCCACATCCCCAGCCCTATTTTGTATTTTATTTAGAGACAGGGTCTCACTGAGTTTCTTATCGCCTCGCCATTGCTGAGTCTGGCTTTGAACCCATGATCCTCCTGTCTCAGCCTCCCTAGCAGCTGGGAATTACAGGTGTGCGCCACTGCACCTGGCAAGACTATAAATTTAATTAAGTTTAAAGTATTTTTTTTATTATAGCATTGTAGTTATACATAGTCGTTGGGTTCCTTTTGACAAAATCATACATGCAAGGAATTTTATTTCAATCCCCATCTTCCCTTTTCCTGTTCTTCTCCCTCCCCCTATTCTCCTTCTTCTACTCTATTGATCTTCCTTTCACTCCTTTATTTATTTACATATTTTTGATTGGTATTTTCTACATATATGTGAAGTTGAAATTCTCTTGGTAACATTTATATGTGTGAATAACATGATTTTGTTAAATTCATTCCATATTTTCTCCCATTCCTGTCCTTCCTTCTTTCCTCCACCTTCTTCTCTACTTTCTATACCATTGATCTTCTCTATATACTTATGATATTTGATCCCACCTCTCCCCACTACTGCCTTCTTCCCTTATTTTGCTCTGGTGTCCACATATGAGAGAACACATTTGACGCTTTATTTTGTGAGTCTGACTTATTTCAGTTAGCATGATATTGTCCCATTTTCATCTATTTACCAACAAGTGCCATTATTTCATTTTTATTTAAGGCTGAATAAAACTCCATTGTGTGTATATACCACATTTACTTAGTCTGTTCATCTATTGGTCTATTCATTTATTTTTTTTTAAATGTATTCTTATAGAAGATACTAAGCTATGAAATTTAACATAAACTGGTAACCCTAGAGACATTGAAATGGGAACAAAATCATTTTTTTAAAAAAAGAAATATGTCTTTGGTTTCAGTTTGTAAAGTGGGAAATAACTTGAATTTGGATTCATGTAGACTTGGGGCTCTATTTGGACTCCATCATTACTCCTGCACTCTTACACAAGTTGTTACTAGTTCCAGGACCTATTTTCTTGGTAGCTATAGAGATGAAGATTTTAAAGGGGAATTGTATATATCTTGATTTACTTGCAGGGTTGGCATTACTAAGAAAGTAGACCTTAT